ACGTCTCGTCGAGATACATTATTACACACTATCAGCGATTACACCCTCAAAGAGACACCAGTTGCTGAAAACCGCAACGAGAAGCAATCGTCAACCAAGATATCTATTAAAATCACATAGGATAGGCCAATCCGCATCTAGCATCTTGAACTTGCTTGCTTGAAGAATAAAGGTTTTGTCATATATTTTTATATTCCTATTACAACCTTACTAGCGTTTCTCAATAATATGGTACTAGAATTTAAAAAAATGAAAGCCATCATGGTGTCAGGTAGATAGATTAAAACCATTTAAGATTAATATTGTCGCATAATACGATTCTTCCCTCAAATTTGCGGAGTTCACGTATTTGCCCCATTTTTGAAAAGTGACACAGATCTAATGTGGAAGACTATAAGCCGGTAGTCATTATTACAATTTTGCAAAATCTTTGAATTTGTATTACATAAAAGAATTTATAGTCAAATGTATCAAACATGATATCTATTGCCAACATGGTTTTATGGCACGCAGATCACCTGTTATTAAATTGTCAATATGTTTGTGAAAATATTAATGAATTAGGCAGGTGGATGTGATTTACATGGGTTTTGCGAAAGCTTTTGAACATATTATTATTGAGTATATTATTAAATAAACTGAAATTTTTTGGATTCTCGAACAAGTTCACTACCCTCTTTAAATCATATTTGATGAATAGACACCAGTTTGTCCAGTATAATGACTTCAGATCTTCAAGGTATAATCAGTCTTCTGGTGCTCCTTAGGGATCAGTTTTGGACCCGCTGCTATTTATTTTGTTTAATAATGGCATTACATCTAGGCTTAACTGTCCAATATTTACTCTTCACTGACGATATATGTATACGAAGATATTTTCAGAGATAAATGGTATTATGAACTGTGAAACCCTACAACGTGATATTAGTAATATTATAATATACTCTGATATATGACAAATAACTTACCAATAAATAGAAATAAATGTTTTGTAATGCCCGTTTCAAAATTAAAGAATACCCCAAAGTTCAATTATACAATGGGTAACACGAATTTTATGATACTCTAATCCTGTAATGATCTTAGAGTAATTTTTGATAGTGAACCCACATTTTCGTGAACATATTGACGCAACAGTTGCAGCAGCTTACAAGTGTTTAGGTTTTGTAATTAGAAACGCCAAACAGTTTTCTGATTCCGATATGTTGTCACAGCTATATACTACTATGTACGTCCAAGGTTAGAATATGCGAACGTTGTATGTTCACCAGTTTATAATGTTCATGTTTCAGCACTTGAAAAATTGTAACGTTGATTTGCCAAAACTGCACTTTTGTAATAGATGGTGTACTTATACCCACCTACATGTTGTCCCGAGGTTGTTCTTTTGAAACGTTTAAATTTTGCAAGTTTAGTTAATGAAAGTTCAAGTTGTTCAATATTTTTCCTTTATAAGATCATGCATAACTTCATCGGTCTAGTACTGAGTTGATATCAAAAATTATATTGCAAATTCCAAAATTTAATAAGAAAAAACATTCAGATTTTAATGAGATACTTAGAAATTACAGTATGCTTGAAAGTGATGTGAACATATTTTGTTTAAGTTCTTTGAGTCACATGAGGATTTTCTTTCTAGGATGGTAAGTTCCGCAATTCCTATCTTCATTCTTTGTTTAGTATTTTATTTTATATATTATTTTGGTACTCTACAAGGTTATTCACGCCTAAAGAATTCCAGACGTAACTAAAAATGCAATTTAAAAACCACTTATGATATTCCATATCATTTTAAAAACAAGTAAAACATTGTTACCCATTTTGTGTAGCAACATCCACGTAATGTCAGATATTACCATGTTAAAACTAACATTTCGGCAGAATTTATACAGTGTATTCAAACGACATAAAAACTGATATGAATTGTCATTCATGATTTTGATATATGGTGAATCCTTCACGCTTGTATAGAAAACATTATCCATGTAGGAGACACCCTGATAATTGAGGTGTTTTCAAATTATCAAAACCAAACAGCCAACTATAGCCATAGGGATTCCAATATTAAATTTTAGACTCCATGTTAACTTTTGATAGGGTCAAAACCCGGAGATGATTTTTGCGATGGAGTAGCCTTAAGGTTCTACTTTAATTCCCACTACCAGTTTTTGCAATAAATTGTTAACTTGTGCTTTAAAAAGTAAAATAAAATAAAATCGACAAAAGATAACCCAAATTACATCCATTAAAAACTTCAACTCTGAATTTTTACTCAAACATAGTAAGTTAACATAGAGTGTAAAATTTAACATGGAAATCCCTATGGTCACTCTTAAAAAAGATGCACTGTATATCAAAGACTGCTATACAATTGTATTGTTGATCGCGTTTTAATTTTTTTAGGCGTGAACCTTCTCGTGAATAACCCCGCATTTTTAGTTTTCTCACTGTTTCCTAATTCGGTATATCCCGTAAAGTAATGTAATCAATAATAATAATAGTAAAATTAAAATAGTAGAACTCATCATATCTTCTAAAATAATATCCATATCAGTAAGAATGGGAACCAGACGAAAATCTGGTGCAATATGATTCAGTATGCGGTACCCATAAAAACTTACCATTGTCACTTGACTTCATTCTGATGACAGTCCGAAAAAAAACTGATAACATGTCAAGCCAGTTCATTCATAGAAAAGCTTCCTAGGACACAACTACCCAGAATCTAGTCGAAGAATTTTACCCATCAGCAGATTAATCGTTTGAACTGAGACTGACTATGTGTGTCGGGCTGTATGTTTGCATTAACCATACTATAAATTTGTGGCCAAAACAACAGATTATCCCCGCCCCTCAAGGTGAAAACCCTATATGGATATTGTTAACTCAGAACCTTCCAAACAAATTTGTCTAGCTCATAGTTGGATCTTAAATATAATTAAACGTACCAATGTGAAAGTTCAAATTATTCCACATTGGCACCAGTCTTTTTCTTTGGCTACCTCCTTTCGACATTGATTTCAATCTATCTGCCTCTCCACCGAAATCTATTTCACTACACTTTACGGCAAGCAAACAGCGAGCTCCAACTTCCTCGTACCCGTCAAGTGCCCGCATGTTTCACACCAGACCCGCCTAAAGAAATGTCCCAAATTCACAGTCCCCAGACTTCGAGTACTGGAAAGTTAGATCCGCCTATGGCAAAACCTCGCCGTTTCAAAAGGCTTGCGAAGGTAGGGTTAAATTTATGGAAATGGTCTGTGTATTTGCATCATCTACCCATTGATTATATTAGCCCAGTAGCTGTACAAGATTAGATAATACCATGTCACCAAACCTAGTTTCAGAAACATAAAAAATCTAAAAACCCTAAACTGGTTTAATAATGACTTAGCTAGTTGCAATTTTATCTAAGAAGTATTGAAACTAATAAGACATTAAAGATGTGCTTCCCTCAAATCACGAAATTTTACCAACATCGGGAAATTATCCCAGTGAAACAAAAAGCAGGCAATATGATGTAGTAACAATTCTTGCAGTTCATAATTAAAAATCGAAGCAAATTCAGTCAGTGAAGTCACTGGCCGTCGACTGGTTTCACACCACTCGATTCTTGCAAATAAATGACATTCTGTCTAGCCTCGTGGTGCCGGTAGCCTGCTTTGTGGTGATAAAAAGTTCCGATATCATATTCTGTTACCGCGTTATTTCAAAACATTTCCAGCGGGATGGATGACGTCTCAGAGACGAGATATTGGATTACCGGTGTAGAAGTTGCTGGTTCGAGTCCCCCGACCATACCCCCGACTTACGTCAGTTTTTTTCTCAATTGCAACTTTTTCAAACGCCGCGTCAGTCGACTATGTTTCATTTTACATGAACACAACGTAGTTTCATAGTACTCGTACATATAGACTGACAAAATTTTACCGCGATAATACCGGTGGCTGATAAAAAAATGAACATCCCGAAGATTATTCTCAAAACGAAAATACTCTATCACGATTTTATAAACAAAGGCTTAAGTGATATTTATTTACTAGTCATTTAATAATGATGATCATGATGATAATTGAAACGAATAACTGTAGCCTTCATTGCAATTTTAATTAATTACTGTATATTGTTTCGATTTTAATTTTAGTAGGTGCCAATACAGACGACGTAAAACTAGAAATCAATTTATCCATTTGATGGAACTGTTGGATTTTGTTTAACATAAAAGAATTAAAAGTCGTATATGATAATCGCGAAAATTCAATAATTGAAAAATAATATTATCAATAAATTTCCGGTGTGTTCGTAAAAAATATAGATACTACTATTTGTAAGTAACAACGTTGTTTTTATTAATATTTTATAATATAATATTTAAAAGTAAATAAGAAGTAGGTACAATGCAAGAATTAACAAGAAAAATAATTTTTAAGACCTATGTAGAGAGAAACACAGGAACGCATTCTGCTGTATCTCTTAAATACTTACTTAACAAAAGACAAAAAAACTAAAAACACAATAAGATGCAGTAAAGAATAACTACAACTAAATAAGTAACTATATGTAAATGCTATATAATATTCATGTTGGGGTGATCATAACGAACAAGAAGGGCGAAACCATGTAGAATATTAGTTACGCCAAAACAATCCCGTCAAAATCATAAATTACTTACTGAAATATCCGAAAAATGTTCATTCTGCCGTTGCAATATAATTTAATGAGAGCTTCTTAAATTTCCCCAAACCCGCCCAAGTTCTTGAAATTTGTCTCATATTCGACTAACAAGCAGCTGCAATCTTGAGATGAATTGTTCCAGTTTCCGGTTTCTGCTGATCTAATAGATGCATTCGCTGTTATTTATCGACCTCCCAAAATTCCCTGCATTATATTCATCATCAACATTTTAATCTGAGTTTGTTTGTTGTTAGCTGATAGTTGTTATGCATTCAATAACAAAGGATGCGATAATATTTACTTTATAAATACTGTTATTGTTCCAGAGGAAGACTACGATGCGTTCTGTTTAGCCTATATGTTTACTTACCGCGATTTCGAAATGGGAACACTAGGATTGGCATGGACTGGTGATTTGAAAAACGCAGGGGGTGTCTGCGAGAAAAACGGGGTAAGTTTTTGTATTCATTTTCGCAGCCTAAACGATGAGGGAAAGACGTTTAAATTCATATTTACATGAATTAATTTAATCCTATTACGTAGAGGATTAAGCTAAGAGTATTATAGCAGCGTTGGCCCTTTTGTAGGTTAATATGGTTAAGTATTATCCTCTGCTAACAAGTCCAACTTGCACAAAATGCACTAATGTTGAGAGCTGAGAAGAAAAAGGGAATCCCCACGAGTGGCTTTCTACCAAAAACAAATCCTCCTTAACATGGAGGAATTCAGAACTTTGCGTCTTAAATTAATATCTTTTAATAAAGAAGCAATTTGCTTGACGCTGAATTTTGATCTTATAGTCAGGTAAATTAATTCCTCTAATTCCCATGTTTTAAATATTCAGCTCTTATGTATATTTAATAAGGAATAAGATGATATATATTTTATCCTAAGTGGATTAAATTTAAATTATTCATTGTTAAGAATTAATAGAAGTCATTGTCAATTGTAATGGTGTGAGGATGGGCTGATTGAAATCATCTTCTCATTAAATTGTAAAGTAAAATTTTGCGTACGTAAAACCAATTTTATCATTAATTTTATTTATGAGTTTTTGACGTAAGAAGACATTTTGTAAAGTTAATTAAAGCTTTTGTATATTTTTTAATGTTAGTAACCCAGGGTTACTCATCGATTTGTTTAATATAACCTTGTAATAAACATGTAATTAATTATTTGAATTTTAAATAAACTCATTCTAATGAAAATAACATAAAAGTTTGAAACATGGAAGTAGTAAAATAAAGGAAAAACAAACGATAAATGAAGCGTGGTAATTATAAGAGAATGTTAAAGCTTCATTTTTGGGGGTTAAAAACCTACAAATACTCCTGAAGGCATACCCATAATTACATGATGAACATCATCCTGATTAAAAACAACAATCTCGTACTTGTTCAAACTTGTTATCCACAAAACCCGGAAGAGCCAATGTTAATATTTATCTGATTAACTTTGTTTCAGTAACACTCCGTAAAGTTGCAGCTTCTAACATCATTTAATTCACTGGGTTTTACTTTTCGATATACGACTGGCATTACATGTCAAACAAAATAAAACTAATTATCAACAAACTTGTATATATATATTGTATATTATTGGCAGCAGAAGCATTACCACAAACATGTTATTATTGCCACGACACCGAAAGTATTAATAAAAAATAATATTATAAAATTATTATGTTAGGTGCAGGTGTCAAAAAATTGTAATAGGAGTATTTTACATACTGTTCTAACACAAACTGAAAATCATATAAATAATTTCCAATACATTTGTATAGTTAGGCTTACAGTTATTTAAACTTATTGCTGCAGGTAAGCAGTTACTGTGTTTTAATCGATTCATGAGTTATGTAATTACAACGACTTTCTACTAACTGAAGACTCATTAAAATTTAACACCCTAACAAGTAGTCCACCGCAGAAATAAACATGTGTGCAGTCGAAACCACCCTAAATTGATACATTAGTAGATTACACCGTGTCTGTACTTCTCTGTATGTATCTACAAGATTACTCCATTATAACGTTATTAGCCTCGCTATGCCAGAACAAGAGAATAATTTCCAATAACAAGTTTGTGTGTGCATACAGCATCCGTTCTGCGCAATCTACATGACGTAATGGTTAGTAGAATGGGTCTAATTACCTTACAGGTGTTTATTTTCGGCTTATTATCCGATTCCACCGTGTTTCTGTTACCGTAGTCAACAGTCAAATGAAACACACCCGATGAACGATCAGTTTGATGTGGTAACCCTTTGTCACAGTTCCATCGTTTTTCCCAGTATTGGAAACTCAGATTCGAATTAGATAAGGGTTGGGAAGTTAAATTTTAATTAGACAGGAATTTCGAGTTAGTTTGATTGATGTTGGGTGCGTTCGAACTATCAGGCAATTTGACAATTTTCGAAGGGGAGAGAGCTTTAATGGTGGAATCAAATAGAGATTGTTGCGAATTTAGTTGGATGATTGTTTAAAGGAGTGAAGGTAATAATAAAAGCTGAGGGCATTAATTAATTTCACTTTTTTAAGTTAAATCAATAAACACCGCCTGGATTTGAAGCACTTTACGGGCGCTTAGCGTTGGTCCGCTGCACCGGGACTAATGAAATTTATATTATTGCTTTTAATATTTACATATTCATTTAGGTGCAGTTGCGAATTTTCGGAATTAATAAAATGTAAATGGAGCTTCAATTCGTTGCGATTGTGCAAATAATGGACAATTAATTTTTGTTTCGGAATTTACTTGTTGTCAGTTTTGTGTAATTGAATTTATTCAGTGAATTTAAATGCTAGGGATTTAAAGAGCTTTGTAATAAGCCACCAATAATGTCGGTGTATATGCTGAGACATATTATTTATGTCGGAGATTATTTACATACAATTAGGTATTTAACTATCTTTAGTGAAAAATATGGAGATGACCTTACACTTAAGTTAAAACAATCATTATTTCATTTATGTAGTAAGTGAAACATGTAAATGCTATTTTTATCTGTTAGTAACTGATGTGGAAAACTACAAAATCAGGCTGGTTCAGAAGACTATATTTTGTATTTAACGTGAGCTGTTAACAAACTCTTCTAGGCATTCTTTCATAAGCTAGTTCTGAACGATCAACGATCTGTTAAATTAAACACAAGACATGGCATTTTTTTTGTATAGTTACTTTTAAAACTCAATTAACATTTAAATTAACTTTAAATTTAAACAGAGTAATAAGGACGAGATCCTCGGTATTAACTCCTTCATTTTCAAACAGTTGAAATTCTGTCTTGTCTACTAAGTGTATTAAAACGTTTACCTAGAAGATGTCTTGTTTAATAAACGTTGTGCTGATTAAATTATTAACCATCTAATTAAATTTAAACTCTTTTAAAAAATTTGACAAAATTCAGTTTTAGAATGCAACTGTTCTGATTGGTTAACCATAAAAACCATAAAAGACAGTTAAATAAGGGAATGTGTACTTTGTAGCATACTTAGAGGTCGAATTAAAAGAAAAAATAAAGCAAACAGAGGAGAAACATTAAAAATCATACAAATTATAGAAATTATCTCAAGAATTCAAAAATAATAATAATGATAATAGTTTATTGCTCAACAGATTAATAACGGGTATACAATAAAAAATATATTTGGAACAAGCGTTGGAATTATATTTGCCGTTTATTTATAACAGTGATCATTTTCGGAAACTAAGTAGACAACCAAATATACATGAATGGTTTTATTATTACTATCTTAAATGTGGTCGGATTGACAAATCATTGCCATTATAACATGTTTTCCAACCTGAAATTGTTTTGTTGTTAAATGCCATTTTCAATAAAGGGTCAGTTTTTAACGTGATTCTTTCTGGACTCCATGTGAATGAGTCTAGGAATGAATGAGAAACATTTTTATAGAACATTAACAACTGCAGGAACAAAACAAGCAAATTGCATCAGAACTAAGGACAGACACATTTTAACAGAAAATAGAGCAAAAATGAACCAATTATTGGATATAAGAAATTAATAACAAACTGAAAACTATTAAGAGAACAGGAAATTATAGAACTAGAAGATCATAATTAATCTAGAAATAGCGATGAACGAATTAAAACAAACTATGTGTATAGAAACCGAAAAATGATAAAACGCCAGGTCATGTCATAATTGCAAATATTAATTATGATCGTTAACAAAATATGGAAAGAGAATTTTCATACGTTATCCTAAAATTGTTAACACAGCTCTTAACCAATCTAAACTGATACATTCCACTTATTCAGTATTGAGTGTTTGCGAACTCTTGTCTCGTCATTTGGTAGAAGGATTCGCACCCTCTGTACTACATTTTCAAAAAGTAGTTAATCCGAAGGAACAAGGGGAGAAATCCTCTACCTTGCATTTATTGCATCAATTTCAACACAGAAATGATCTTGGGAGAGTATTTTCCTTCCCCACACATTCACGCCATTTCTTCTTAAAATTACACGGTTTCCTCTAATAGAAACAAGCCATAAATAACGTTTATTACCTGTCACTACCATTAGGCTAACACGCCATAGAGCTAGGTTTTTACACACATATATTCCGTATTTTTAGATCTGCAGAGCAATGCTGATGCAGCACATGTTATTGCAACTCATATGAAATATTTTACTGATAAATGAACATAAGCTCTCAACGTTGTAGTCAGTGCTAGAACTCTTAATTAAACTACAAAGCTGCAGAAAAAGACGTGACTGAGTGCATAAAAAACCCAATAAACATTCTGAGCTTTATTTTGCCTTGAAGTTAAAACATGCAATAAAACATCGTCTGATCTTTTTAAATTAACGAAGCGATTTAACGTAAAGGAGATACAATATTGTAAAAGCTTTCAAAAAATGATAATATATAAAACACGAAAATATAATGTTTAAAGCTTATCCTTTTTGTATGTAAATCTGACTGAAATGAAATAACGCGACGGCTTTCGGCAGATATTACAGTTAAAAAATATTTGCCATTCCGAGATTAATGTATCAGCTAATAATCGCATGAAAGCCTTTGAAAGCTCAGCTTTTGTGCTTTTTCTGTGCAAAGAACGAGAATAATACTTGTCCGTGATACGATTTTATGAATTAATCGGCAGGAACGATTATCAATCACCACTTTCAATTATTATCAATTTCAGCATTATAGAGGCAGCATGAAATCATTAAATACAGGAATCGTCACGTTACTCAACTACGGAAAACACGTACCGCCTGCGGTATCTCATGTAACTCTCGCTCACGAGATTGGACATAATTTTGGATCACCGGTAAGTACTTTATCTTGTTCTCCTTCTTCTTCCCGTCAAACCTGTGTTGAAATCCTGAACCAAAAAACGTTGTTATTTTGCGTTCGTATTCTACGAATCTTAATGTAAAACTGAAAACTCAACGTGCTAAAATATGTTTAATACAAACTGTATGTTAAAAGTTTGGAACCACGTAAACTAATTAAACCAGCATAAAAAGAATCTTAATTTTTTCTATACCGAGTATACTTTTTTGTTTCGTTTCATTTTACGCTTTATGAAATCTTAGTACATACTTTGAAACTTTACAGGTTGCGGTAATTCAGTTATGTCTAGAACGAAGTTGGTTCCGTGCTTTTGTCCCGCTTTGTACCTACTTCATTTCGTTATAAGTCACCACGTCATAATCTTATTGTATTTTTTGTTTGAGTATGGCGTTTCCGAAGCTCGAAATTACGTTTCTATGTAAAAGAGCTTTTATCCTATCTCCGTTTGTTTTTACATTTTGAACGCTTGAGCGGTGGTAATCTTTTAGCAAAAACTGGAAATCCAGGGACTCATTAGCATTCTGTCTTCTCATATAAAAGTGCGGCTGCACTAGTTTCATCTCGATCTATTTCACTATGCGGTAACCTGATCAAATGCCCGAAGAGCTTAATTTGCTGCAGTTTGAGGGCTTGGAGCTGCAGGATGTTTACCGTGTTGCTACTTCATTAGACAGACTTCATAACAAGCTTCAACTTATGGAATTATGCTAATATTTTAAAGCATGATAATTTATAAAAGGCTGCTAGACTTGATTGAAAATTATTTGCTGCGGCAAAACTGTGAATAAACATTTTCTGCAGGTAATAAGTTGCAGGATGTGGTTATAATAAGCTAGTTAGAACAAGGAAGACGTAGTATGAGGTGAATAGCTATTTGTTTTACAGCTAACGTCTCACTAAGTGTAACGATGCATGTAATACATCGCATGTAGTCTTTTTCTGTTTTTACTATTAAGTAAGGTATATGCAACGGCATAGCTTCTCTACACTGAAAATAGGAACTTGTTAAAAGTCAATATGATACATAATACAAACAAAAATGCAAAAAATATGATGTACACAATTTATTATTACAAATTTCTCTTAATGATTAAATTAAAAATTCACTTATTTTGGTCAATGATTGTGATTGGTACCTCTTGTTAAAATCTGATTTTATTCCTTCTAATTCTAGTTAATACCCGATTTTAATTTATTGACTTTCGTTATGTGCTAAAAGTCGTTCAGAGAGTTATTTTATGGGGCTACTGTTGATCCTCGCGCCTCAGCAGAGATCACACCTGATTAAACTTCAAATATTTTTTTAAACATAAACAAATTAACTCCAGAATTTACATGTAAGGCTGCCGTGTTTTCTCTTGACGTTTTTTTTTCTCAGTGACGACTCGTTCCAATTCCATATCGCCTTGTCGATTCTGTACCATCACAAAAGCAAACAAGATGACATCTAATAAATGTCAGTATACTGGTTTAGAAAAAATCCAATAAAAGTTGGTTTCTAAGTAATAGCGAATCAATAGAAAAATACACGTTACAAGTATTATAATGTAGATTTATCTTAAGATTTCTGGTCAAATTGATGCCGAGAAATTTGTAACATCAATTATTTTGAAATGTTGACGTTCGTGTAAACAAGATATGGCGACAAAGAAAAATGTTTTCCCAGCGTAATTACTACTTTGGCAGTTGTGTTTCATTTCACCTCATTTAATACATACAATTTTTAACAGACGAACGGACACATATAATTAAATATAGCCACTTACATTAATAAGTTCCGAAATGCTGAGTTCCTGCACTGTCGTTAAGTGATTTTTATCGTTTTTTTACACCGTTTAGCCTCCACCCAGAATTGGGTTTCAACTGATCGTAAATTCTGTCCATCACACCTTGCTTCGTCTAGATTTCCCATAAATTCGTAAATTTAAATATCAATGCAACAACTCATGTAAAATTGACAGCTTTGATAAATCTCTCGAAGCATTTATCACTCTTCCTGATATCTGCATGCATGGAATATTTCAATTTTAGTGGCACAAAAATATTGTCGAATGTTTCCGGCACCGTATTAAAATATCGTGCAGTTGAGCCATTAAACTAGAACGTGAAGTTTAATTTCGAGTTAATTGTTTTATTTCAAGAGTGGTTTTAGTTTTCATAAAACCGGAACGTTGATAACATTCATTCCTTTGACAAGTCGTACATCGTACACCGTTTTTATAGCAAAGCAGCCAACAAAAGATAAATCATGAGCACGTCAAGTCTATTAGGACTCGCAGGGGTTTGAAAATTTCCAGTTTTCAGGGCCGTGTGTGTGGATAAGTGACGAAATTCGTTTTTTATTCGTCTATAAAAAACCGCGGAACGCGGTGATACCCATCGTAAAAAATGGTAGTAAATTTTAAAAGGGTATCCTTGTTAATTGTGCAAATTTATCATCGAAGGCAGCTTGAAAAATATTTTACGCTCGACAATAAAATAAAATTTTACAATCGTCCTATCGTCTTTCAACACTTCATTATTCTGCATCAGCGCCCGCCTAGTTCATTAAACTATCGAGATGAAGAGAGACTAATGTTGACTTTTTCATTGCACGAAGCACGACCCGGAACAGTGCACCCCCGGTGGTGAAGATGGTAACTTCATTATGTTTGCGAGGGCGACGTCTGGTGACAAGAAAAACAATAATCAGTTTTCCCCTTGCAGCCTGAAGAGCATTAACCCAGTACTTAATTTTAAAGCGCGCTCACCAAAAGGATGTTTTACAGGTAAATCACTACGCTCTTCCGCAACTTTGTTTCATTAAAACTTTTCGTTTCCAATTTAACTTTATGCTTTTGATACATATTTTCACTGTTGCTCTTGACTCGATGTCAGTTCCACTTGCTGACGTCGCTTTTTAATAACCTATTGTTCAAAATTCTGATTGATTTCAAAAACTGCAGAACCGCAAGCCTCTCTTTGTGGAAACGGTGTCGTGGAGGAGGGGGAGGAATGCGATTGTGGTTGGGAGGAGGACTGCAGAGACCAGTGCTGCTTCCCGCAAAGGAGATATCCGCCTCTAGATGAACCGCCTTGCCGCCTTACTCCTAGAAGTATATGCAGTCCCTCACAGGTAATATCTTTTTTTACAGTACGCTACCCATACAGGCATGATGAATTGTATCTACGGCTTAATGCCACATTTTAGACAAAAAATTGGTTGAAAGTTATTTGGACAGAACTTCCCTAGCCCGTAAAGTACAGTCGAACAAATTCATCTTCGAAAACTTATTATTAAAATTTAACTTTGAGAATTCTTTTTTTTTTCATCCTTATAGTCAGTTTTTCCATATATTTTTTTTATAACGTCATTAAGATTTTAGCAAAGACACATATATCAATTTAGTATTAATAGACTCCTTAGAATTTTGGCACCCTTGGAATCCTCGAAATCTTTCAAATTTAGAAAACTTTGACAGTATTTGGAATATTTTCACAAATTCAGTAAAATGTTTAGAATTTCTAGAATTATTGAGTAAATTTTTGAAATTTCCAGAAGTTCCAGATTTTCTAAATGTTATAAAAATATCAGTCTTCGGATATGTCAGAATTCAACATTTTCCTCGGTTTTCAAGATTTCTAGGTGTTCCAGATTTTTCACACTTCCTAAATATTTCCAGATTTTCTAAAATTAATAGACCCCAAAGTCTTTAAATCTTTGAAATATTTGGAATCTCTGGAATCTTTAGAATCTCTGAGATGTACTAGATAATACTTAAGGTGTTGAAAACCCCTAATACTCGTAGGATTTATAAAAATTAAAGGAAGCATTCTTCTTTAGGATTTTTGTTTTATTTAGAAGCTTTGGAATCTTTAAAATTTTTGTCATGTTAAGAGTTCATGCGTTTTTTACAAATTATAGAATCTTTGAAATATTTAGAACAGAATTTTAAAAACCTTTTTATCGTTTGAGTCCTTAGAGTATTTAGAATCTTTAACAGTTTTCAAAGTCCTTAGAGTCTTAACAATCTTTGTAAATTTTGGATACTTCAGAATTACTATGTAGAAATTTTATAATTAGAATTTTTATAATTTCTAGGAACATTGCTTCCAAAATCTTTACAATTTTTAAAATTTTGTTCCATATTTCTTCTATTTAGAAACTAAAACTTTTTTTAGAGTTTTAGAATGTGTCGAGTCTTTAGAATTTTTGAAAGGTTTGAAACTTTGAAATTTTTAGAATATCCACAATCTTAAGATTGTGTAAACTTTTGAAATTTTGAGATTCAATATTATTTGTATTTTCTTTTAATTTTTGGGAATTTGCAAAATTTTCAGAATATTCAGATTTTCCAGATTAGCCTAATTTTTCAGATTTTCGGAAGTACACAATGACCAGAATTTCCACATTTTCCAAAATTTCTAAAATTATCACGCTCCAGTTATACCAGAATTTTGAAATTCAACCTTTTCCAATATTTTCAAGATTTCTAGGTCCACCACATTTTTCCCACACTCTGTAAATTTTTTCAAATTTTCTAAAATTTATATAGATCTCAAGAGTTCTAAATCTTTGGAATTTTTGTAATCTCTGGAATCTTTACAGTCTCCAAGATTTATAAGATAATAATTAGGGTGTTCAAGGCTTTCAGTGCTTTTAGGATTTATAAAAATTAAAGAAAGCATTTTTCCGATCTTTGCGATTTTTAGGTCTTTAAGATTTTTGTTTTCTTTGGAATTTTAAAAATCTTTGGCATTTTAAGAGTTCACGCAATTTTTACACGTTTTAGAATCTTTGACTTTTTGGAATTTCTCTAGAACCTTTAGAATCTTTCAAGTATTCGACACAGTATTTTAGCTTTTGACCCCTTAGAGTCATTAGAGTCTTTAGACCCTTTAGAGCCTGTCCAATCTCTGGAAATTTTGAACACTTTAGGAATTACTAGGAGTTTTATAAAGCCTAAAATTTCTGAATTTCTAGGATCATTAATATCCCCAGGTTCTTTAAAAATTTTAAGATTTCTTAGTTTATTTAAAATCTTAAGTGTCTGAGAACATTTCGCAATTTCTAGTGTATGTAATCCGGGAAAGCTTATATACTTTTTGAATCGTTCAAACCACTGGAAACTTTGGAATTTTTAGAGCTTTCAGATTTTCATTATTTTTAGATACTTTAGTATTTATAGAATTTTTAATATTTTTAGATCTTTAGGATTTTTGTCATCTTTCCAATGTTTAAATATTTGGAATCTGTGAAGTCTTCGGAATTTTTGAAATTCCTGAAATCCTTGTAGTTCTTAGAGTTTTTGGCATCCTTGAAAGCCTTAAAACCTTTGAAAAGAATTTCTGTAATTAACATTGTGCATATTTTACATTTATTCGGCAAAGTTGCAAAATATCGTCATCGATTTTTATCAGACAAATTTTGGTTAGAGGTTTACCATCCACACGATATTCCTAATATACATACAAAAATTGACACAAACGACGTCATGAAACGTCAATTTTCGGGAAAACAGAGTGAGCCGTTCCCGATTTAATCAATAAAATAAATTGACTCATTCATTAATTTTTATGAATCACCCTGTATAAGAAATTTAAAAGCTTTTGATGCAATGATAAATCATAAGTATAGACTATTCATATTTTACACAGACACCCGGTATATTTAATGACTGAAAAATTGTTATCGAGTTTTTGGTGGAGAACAAAGAAATAAAATTATGTCAATACAAGGTGATTTCGAAATATATGCTATAATTATTGTAACCACGGCATCACGTACCGTGGAACCGTGGTAATGTGGAAATATAATAAAAACAAATTAAAAGTCGAATGGGGGAAAACCCCCTTGAACCGCCCTCGATGCGACGCCATTGATCCACTTTTTAAACAGTAGGTGGAAAAACGTTCGAATAAAAACGATGTAAACACTTTCAGTTTCCATTAAAAGTATAACCCACTTTTTACTGGTTATCATTCGTTCATTCATCCATTCATTCATCGTTAAAGGTCAATGCGAAAGATTATTAGTTGTAGAAACAAAGGATGATCCTGAGAAGGACCGATGTTTAACACAACGATTCCACATTGTTTATTAATACAAAAATAAAAACAACTAAGAATGTTACTTTTTTATAATAAATGTCGAAAATGTTGTCCTTGACTAACAATACAGGGTGACTGCGAAATAAGTGCAAATATTTTAACCACGGCATCCCCCACCCTAGTAGAGCCGAAATATAGAAAAACCAAATTAAAAATCGAATGGGGCAAAACCCCCATGAACCACCCTCGATACGAAGGCACTGAGCCACCTTGTAAACAGAGTTGGAAAAACGTTCGAATAAAAACGACCTAAACACTTTCAGTTTCAATTAAAAGTAAAACCGACTTTTTGCTGCTTATCATTCGTTCATTCATTTACTCATTCATCGTTAAAGGTCAGTGTGAAAGTTTTTTGGTAATTTTGATTCTGATGGATGTTTGGTCCTTGTCACAACGATTTTAGATTGTTTATTGGAACAGAAATAAGAGCAACTTAGAATGCTACTACCTTTTTATAAGAAATGTTGAAAATGTTGTCCTTGACTAGCAATACAGGCGTCAGAGCGTCGCAAGAGGTTTGTTGATAGGTAAAAACCACTTTCACTCGTTGAAGCTCTTCGATAATTTCTGGACACTGTTGATTTCCACAAACGAACTGTTTCATCCAACCGATACACATTTATCGAAAACCGTCTCTTGCAATCGTATTTGTGGACGAGCATGTGGAGTTTGATCGGACAAAAAGTGAGTTACACAACGTGGACAATCAGCGGGCTCCAAACCCTTTACTTTGTCAACATGGTATGGATGTGGCCGTATTCTTTTAATGTAGGATGCACTACAAGCTGTGAAAATCCAACTTCTTCTTTCTGTCCTATCACGGCCACGATCGTGAGTTTGAAGTTGAAGGTACCATGATCTCGGAGTTTTTCTATCACTCATGCAAATGTTCGCCCACACCAATTACCATATCGACACAATCTGCATGGGAAAACTCCACCATAAACCGATTTCACCGACCGCTCGATGCTAACTGGCCCTTCTCGTGTTTTTCACGTTGGGATTAAAAAAGTGCCTGATAAAGTCACTTTTTTGGTTTTTAATCCGACTCGCTCTATTCCATTCATTGTAGTAATTATGTAGGTCACAAAACAGTCCAGCGGCGCGTACAACAATTTACATTTAATTTCAAATAATTTTTTCTAGACACTGCTACTACTTAGGACCGTGAATTTTACCCAGTGACATAATCATATTGTGAGCTATTCCCCATTTTTTTTTTGCATGTATTTCGCAATCACCTTGTACATGCTTCAGCAGGTCGCAACATGTCTGCACGGATACGTAAAAAAACTCCGGGAGTTCCACGAACTGTAACGACTGCCACTTCCATTCGTTGTTGAAGCTCTTCGATAGTTTCTGGACACTGTTGATTTCCGTAAACTAACTGTTTCGTCCAACGTCACAGACAAAAATCACACGGATTGAAATCGGGTGAACGCGGAGGCCAAGCTAGTCTGTTTGGTAAAATATAAGGTCCAAGTGACCATTTACGAAACCGGTCCACACACTTATGGACAACCCTCGTTGAAATCGTACTTTTTGACGAGCGTGTAGATTTTCATCGGACCAAATGTGAGTGTTGTCGCTGTTGAAAACAGCATTGCGAGTGAATCCTGCTTCATCCGTAAACAGAATGCAATTTAAAAAGTTAGGAGGTTCACGACATCGCTGCAACAACCATTCGCAGTAAATCACCCGACGTGGACAGTCAGCGAGCTCCAAAGCTTGCACTTTTTGAAAGTGGTATTCTTTTAAAGTACGATGCACCACAAACTGTGAAACTCCAACTTCAGCAGCAAGTCGGCGAGTGCTAATGTTGGGCTCTTCTTCGACGCGTTCCAAAATTTGTTTTTCAGCTTGCAGTAGATATTCTTTCGGTCCTACCACGGCCACGATAATATATCTGAAGCCTGATGCTACCAACTTTATTGTACACATTTCGAAATCACCCTGTATTTTTAGTTTTGTCATTTTTGACACTGCGGGCTTGCTAAAACTGAATGCAACATGACAAATCTTTTAAACTTCAAACATCAAGGTGGCAATAAAGCATTGACTACATGGAATATTTCAAAATTACAAAAAAATGACGTCCAAGATTCCTGGGCGCGACTATATTTACCCCACCGACTTGCCGATGACAATCAACAGTGAAAGGAAGTCTATTTAAAAACACAAATATCTTATGCATGTCGGGTCTGATTTTTAACAAAAATTCATTTAAAAACAATTTGAATCAATGTCGACAATGCCACATGTCGACAATGCCACATGTCGACAATCATATTCATAACGAACTGCGTTTTTAGTACTCTTAACAAAATTTAATAGACAGATATGAAAAGTTTAATTTTGTCAGATCTGTCCGTTTAGATTGTAGAAAAGTAATTTCGGGGCTTAAGTTCAGCACAAAATTAATTAGCTTGATGCTTTTTGAATTCATGTAATTTTCATGTGGCGCATGGTGAAGGCAAATTAGTGGCAGCAAAAGATCTTTGTAATAAGTGGTCTACATCTAATTTTGCGTCATTAAAATGACATCAATATTAAAAATTGACCGTTTTCATTCAACTAGGGTACCATGTTTGATTAATTTTTAACAACTGGTTAAAATTTCAATTATGTTAAACGAAGACTGATGTCTCAGGAAATTTGAAAATTTTAAACTACAACTTATTCCAAGAAGTCTGACCTGAAGTGCCTAAGTAAAGAGTTGCTAGGCAAACAGTAAATTTGTTGTTATCGACCTGTTGAAAAAAGTAGACAAAAAACCACCTCCGCAAATATTTCCAATTTTGTGAGGGTCTTTTTCAGTGTTATTCTTTTTTTACCAATGTAATGATAAACAAATTTTTTATTTTTATTTTTTTTTTACATTTTATGAACAGAGTTCGTTATTATTTCTACAGAATTAGACCACCATTTTACTTATAGCATACAAACAAATTCAATTAGTGGATATATACCTATCTTTCATAAAGAACTTGAAATATAAAGCACGAAAAATAGTATACGAAAAATCCTTCTCCTTTAATATCTTGAAAAACTAGCGTAATTAATATGAAGCAGTCACTGAAAGAGTTTTTTCCGTTTTGAGTCCAATCTCCAAAGTGATGTTTATGCCTCGAGAAACTCCCTATTTACGAGCGCTCCCAGATTTTTTCCAACCCTCACATAATAAATCTAATCTGTTCCCAGGGACCTTGCTGTACATCCGACTGTCAAGTGAAATTTGGCGACAAATGCAGGGATGACAACGGTTGCAGGGATGAAAGTTTCTGTAACGGCCGCAACCCGCAATGTCCTCCCTCAGTCAACAAGCCGAACAAGACGATTTGTAATAAAGAGTTTGTTTGTTTCATGGGCGTAAGTCACAAGAAGCGCGGCTTCTTTAACGTTTAACGGGAATAATATTTCAGGAATGCACTGGTTCCATTTGTTTGGCGTATGGCCTGGAATCCTGCCAATGTATTCCGAAGAAGGGTGACCCAAAAACTAAAGCATGCGAGTTATGCTGTAAGCACTCAGGAGATGATAAACCGTGTCTTTCTTCGTTTGATTGGAATAACATGCCATATGACGTACCGGACATGTACTCGAAACCTGGAACGCCTTGTAACGATTACAGCGGTTACTGCGACGTGTTCCAGATGTGTAGGGAAGTTGATCCTTCGGGACCTTTAGCTACTTTGAGAAAGTTACTTCTGTCTGAGGAGAGTTTCGCCAGTTTTAAGAAGTGGATGATGGACTACTGGTATGCTGTGGCCGCTATCATCGCACTAGTAATTGCCCTACTGGTAAGTATCAATTAAGTTTACTGAAAGATAATTATTGTTAATTAACACTTTATAAGACTAAAATACAGTTAGAAATACGTTTACGTGTGGCACGTAAGTATATTTTTTATGAATACGGTAGTCGCTAAATAAATGGAGCTTTTTAATGGTAATAAATAAATGAGTAGCAGCTACACCTACTCCCTACAACTACAATTGAACAACTTTAAGCAACAGCGTCTAACAAAAACATCGTAATTACAGAGATTTGAAACATAATAAGGTGTTTTTGTTGGAGATTACCAATTCTAGAAAAACTGGTAGATAAAGAAAATCCTTTCTCTGAAATATTTAGATTTATTTCAAAAACAGACAATTACTAATAATTCACCATTGGGTCCATTTTTGTATACTCTTGACTTTGTCGAAAAAATGTTAAGTTTATAGGTTACTTTCAATGTACACTTATCCTGGCACGGGATTCTACCTGCCAGTGGTACAGTCTCATTTATGGATGATCTGTTTATTATCCAATTATTACCTTATTTAACTTCACACGGCAATACAGTTTTATTGGACACAAAAATAATGTTCTGAGAGTAACATTTTGATTAATATTGAAGCCGCAAAGAATCCGTTTTTCTGATCCAGGATAATTCAAGTTATCGGACGTTATATCCGCATGCCACACGTGTTTAAAGGATCACAAACAGAAATGAATTTGTCCAGTTGATCAGCAGAGATCGAGTCCAAAGAATAATCACATGTTTTGCTTGACCGAATCCCGTATCTTCTTGGCTATTTCGCTCTTATTGGAAACTAAATCTTGTGTATAACCCTCTGTTACGATTGACGATTTCCACCCACCTTGGCAACGTTTCACTGTTATAATATCAGTTTCTGCATTTGCCAGCAAAGTTGCTGAACGTCTCAAATCGTGAAAAAGAATTAGCTCTAACTGCTTGTACATGGCTCCACACTGTATTAATTATGCAAAAAAACCTCTTGATTTTCAAAGCACTCAACACATCGTTCGAATTTGTTCCAGGTATTAAGCACCAAATATCTTAGCAAGAGACCCAACTTAAAACTGAAGTCTGTTACAATAATCCACGGTTCACCAACCGAAGCCGTCAGACTTCCTCCCGACGGAGACAATGGTCAAGTCACAGTGCACCCAGCAGTAAGATCAAAACTACCTCTAAAACGTAAAGTACGAAACGGCAAAGTCAAAAGGAAACGCAAAGTAAAAGAATCAATCAACAACAACGTAAACAGCCCAAGCCGAAGCAAGAACTCACCTAAGAAAAAGAAACGAGTATCGGCTCCAGTCGGTGCAGAAGAAAGCAGGAAGAAACCCGTCGACGCTACAGTTATCGAAATACCTCACAGTAAAGTGAAAAAGTCTCCTCAAATCACCGCCAACAACAAAAAGAAAAAGAGGAAGAAGGAAATCATCGACTACAGTAACGTTCAGGCGGATGCCGATGGCAAGAAGGGATTAATTAGCGCCGAGGTGCTCCATAATCCTCTAACACCTGAAGCCGACCCGGTCGGGAAAGTGCAAAATTGGCTGCTGAAGTCCCAGTACGCTTTACCCAAGTCCAAGTCCACCCCGGCGGGATTGACCGACAAGTCCCGAAGGAGCCCTCACAAGCGTCCCACTATTAGGCCCCGAACTGATAAGAGCAAGTCGCACAGTGTGGGCAACATTCCGAACGAGAAAGAGAAAGTTCGATTACAAGTGGTGTATAAACCGCCGTTTAAATTTAGTGTTAAGTTGCGCAAACCGGAAAAAACTAGTGTGGTCATCGAACGCGTCGATGCCAACAGAAAGACTGAAAAAAATAAAGTCCCTAGGACAGGTGTGCTTGTGCGTACTGTGAAACAGCGTGAGCCGAAGCCGAGTAATAAAACGAGTGTTGATAATCCAGCTGTCGCGATAGACGCAGCTCCCGTAGCTAGTCCGATGCAGGTTGTTGATTCTCCCGCTACTAAACCTGATGATATTGATTCCAATATTCATACCGTCCAGTCTGATTTAGAAGTATTGTTGTCTGAAAGCGAATTTCTATTTTCAGATGACTGATATTACATTTTGCAATGACCCAAATTGACTTGTTTAAGGCTGTGGAAACAAACATTCCGCACTCTCAGAGCTGCTTAATATTAAGTTTTTATTCAGGTTGACACCATTCTGCAATGAAACTTTACTAAAATTGGGTTTTTATTTCACGGAAAAGTGCCTTTTGACAGTGATTGGAATAAACTAAATTGAACCCAATTTTGAAAATAGAGTGAAAATATTGACCAATAGGCTACAGATTGAAAAATATACTCATAAAAGTTTGCTGTGTAGGCAGAAATGATTTCATTCTCGTTCAGGTTGAGATTAAAGAAACAACTGTCTCTAGTAAGAGGAATGCGTAATATTTATTTTCAACGTGTTAAATTCGAACATGCCTTTTTGGTAATTAATTTATAGTCAAAACAATATGGATAGAATATTCCCAGTAGAAACGAGTGCATACTTAAAAACTCGGAGATTACAGGAATTTATATAAGTTATTTTAGCGTCTTATGGAGATGCATATATTAGCAATATTCTAAAGTCTTGGACATTAGTGAGATTTATGTAGCGTAAAATTGCGTAAATTTAAAATTCTATACATTAAAATGAGTGTAGTACCCAATGAAACACCTATTTCTAAAATGTAATGGAAAGTTTGTACTTTTAATGATATCCACATGATACATAGCCCAAATATACAAACATCTGGTCACACACTATACAACTTAATTTAAAATGGTCCCAGGTAATATATACTTAGGAATGCATGTAGGTTTTAACCAAAACAAAATATTATAGGTTAGAGAGAACCAGAAAACCCATATTAAAACCTTTGTAGGATACAAGCAGTATAAATCAATGTATGAAGATTGTTTCTGACAAAAAAGGCCCAGTTGACACTAATACATATCAACCGATTCTGCCGAATGGACCTTTGAATAAGGACTTCATTAGACATTTTTATAATGTCACCTTCAATCACTTTGAGGGTTTTACATATTTCAAAACACCAAATAATACCACGATATTAAGAGACCTAAAATAAAAAAAAATTGCATCATTTTTAGGTTACCGATTCTTGTCCAAAAAAAAAGAGGGACTAGGAAAACGCATAAGTTCTACGTCAAATCCCCACTCTTATAGTAAGATATTTCTAGACTTCCTGGAGAGCTAGAGATTTTTATTTATGACCTGGTCACCAAAATTTCTCATTTTATTGTCATAATTTTTAAATTGGAGTGCAGAAGGTACTTGACTTCCATTGTTCCTGATCTTGAGAGCAGACATGTGGTTTTTGTCCTGTTGTTTTTAAAAATATTTTTAATACCATTGCGTCCTTGTGATCAGTCCTGTAAACAATAACTAGAATAAAAATTAGTATAACTATTGCATCATAGTTTACTTGTCCTCGCGGGGGCAACGTCGTTGAAGAAACCGTGATCCTTTTTTTTTTTATAAAAATCAGTGTCTTAGTTTTAGTAATATCATCAGACATTCCAATTTGTACTTTGTTAAAATATTTGGTTCTACGTTAAAATAGTTATTCCAATCACTAACTTTTGGCGCTACCATTCCAACGCCTTTTTCACAAATTCCCCCTAAAATAGCTAACAGTAACTTAATAGTAACTCCTCAAACGTAGCGCTGCTGGACACAGTTTATATTACAGATACATTCCTGCTTACCTCTTCAATAAAGTTTCATTGTAACGGGTGTAAAATTTGATTAACAGTGATCACTTAGGTTAAAATATTTTACTTACTCTCTTATCCAAGTGTTAAAATTGAAAGAAACTAAAATATATTTATTTACGTAACTCTGTAACTTAACACAACTGCTGCTTGTATGGTATTTTTACAGTGCCATTTTTGTACTGTACTGTGGTACAAACAAATAGGACGTAGTTTACATCGTCTCATTTGGTACAACCACTTTTCGTAAGATACTATTGTGTCAAGCAAAAAGGACTTCATTCAAGTAATTTAGCGTGCCAAATAATTGCTTTCATATTAACATAGTTGAAATTTATACACGCTGAAAGTGTTCTGAACCTACTATTTTGTGTACCCTTGTTAATAAAAATGTTCATTGTATAGAATGTTGCTTTCACACTAAGTGGACTATGATGTGATATACAGCACCAATAACGTATGCAGTATGTCACATTATATTGAGTTTATTAACGTGAAAGCGTTTTTCACTTCCATTGTGTTATGATGTGTTACTAATTGAAAATTTTATTGAGAGTAAACCCTTTCTTTTATGTGTAAAATTAATATTCTGTTGTGAAAACACTAATTTGGTTGTTCTTTTAATTTTAATAGTAATTTATAATTGTTTAACGTACTTCTTACTAAAACGTACTTAATTAGCACTAAATTATTTACTTAATTACGTATAATTATGTACTTTACCTTTTTATACAATAAATTTTTAAAATTTTAAAGACTTGCTTATGCAACCCAAAATACACATACGGTTTTCCCAATAATTAAAGTATCATTATTTGTAAATTGCAGTTTGAATTCACCTTGCAAGTACAAGAAAGTCATGTAATTTAAGACAGTTTTTAACACACATTGTTTTTCTACCGCTTTTTTAAATCTGCAGTACCGGAAACTAATTCCCATAATCTACATACAATTTAGTTACACAATGCATGAATTTTTTATATGGTTGGTGAAACTGCGTTCCTGCAGCTTTTCGATTTTTGATTTCAGAACTTTCCAAGTAAGTTTTTCTAAATCTACTTTTACAAATCACTTGCAGGAGCACTAAAAGTGTTAAGTAGCGTTTAAAATGTACAGAGGAAGTTGAATTTTGACTAATACTATTCTAAGTTTAGTGAATGAGTTTGTTTATTTATTGAGGTTATGTTGCACTCACCGGTCCTCAGTTGTAGCGCCGCCGGAAATGGAGAAATCCGGAGGAAAATTTGTTTTAGAATGGGAAACGCACTCTAAACAGATCTCTAAAGGTTTGTGCATGTTGATGGAAAGACAGTGTTTGGTTGATATAGCTGTGTGCTGTGGGAGTAACACATTGCATGCTCATAAATGTGTCCTGGCAGCAAGCAGTAGTTATTTTAAAGTAACTTACTCGTAAAATGTGCTTAATACACGCTTCTTTCAAACCAGATTTTATAGGAACACCTTGAAAACAAAGCTATTGAACAGGTGGTAATAAATGGTTTAGATTTTGCAGTGATGAAATCCTTGATTGAGTTCATGTATTGTGGAGAATGCTCTTTTTCTGAAGACCATCTGAAGCATTTTATTGCAGCAGTAAAATTTTTTAAGATTGTTGCACTGGAAAATGTTTTTGCTGAGAATGAATATCAGAATGTTGCAGGTATGTATCTTACGGCATTTTAAAAATAGCGGTACTTGGTAGAAGTTCTACATTCTGACACCCTGATAGATCTACGTGGATATTTTATAAAGTAGTTGTGTCATTTAGGTAGAGGAATGGCAGATATTAAAAAAAATATACGCCTATACACAGGTACATATATTTTTAAAGGGGCAGATTAGATGTCGCTGCGGTAAATTTGCCGATCTTTACGGGGACATCAGTGCTAGATATTTTAGTTAACACCTTATTAATAATCTGATGATCAAATAGTCAAACGTAACCGAAGTTTTCGAAATTTGCTACAGTAGACTGTCGAAAGATTTTTATTGTTTGCGCCGAAACTGACGACCACGTTCTTCGTACCCAAAAAGCTCTAATTCTGTTCAGTTCTACTGTTTTCTGCAATGGTGCTGTGTTGCACACCACACAAAACCAACAAGCAACAGTGCATATTAACAAAACTGACAAATTTTATGTTACTATGACCCGCATTTGATGTGTATTTGATACACTGGCTTAAGATACAAAAGTGAGCGCGCAATCCAGGTTTGTGATTGCCAATGGATTGCACTCATAGTCGAGATAGTAAGGAATTCGTTTGCAATTCTCCATTATGATTGGCAATTTTGTTATAAAACATTTTCTTTCTTTCATTAATATTTTTTTGTGTCTATAGAAAAATTAATACAAATAATTGCATTTAATTGTTTTTTAATTGTGTAATAACACTTCTTGATGCTTTACTCTGCCGCAATATGATAGGTTGTATAAAGTTTTTGTTTTCTTATTACTTGATTTACATCTTAGTGCTATAGGCAGAAGCTGATTTGTCGTCACTGATCTCGAGTTTTCTAAACAAAAAACTGTTGATGGAAATAAATATGTATTATAAATCTATCGGATCGACTACCAAAGCATTAAGGTTCAAACGACTTAATATATTTTTGAATGATACATTTTTATCGCTTCAAATAAAAATTCGTGCCGCATTCAGTGTAAAACGCTTATCATAAATATAAATTAAAACCTAAGTATTACTAATAAACTGGTGCAGTATTTGTTACTGATTTCTACCTTATTTGTTTCATGTTATATCTACTATGGGACTATTCTGACTCACTACAACGATCAGAATATACACTTTAAAACAATTAACTGCATAGGTCATAAATAAGCCATATACAAAAAATCTGGTTGGGATCATCATAAAATTAATGTAAAAATTACAACACATTGATAACCTTTTCCATAAATATTTATTTATCCTTTTATTAAAATAGATTAGATACAATTTTGAAATAAATTCGAATGGAATGGCGAAATCAATTACAACCAGATAGCGAATTCTTGCGGTAAGACGGCAAATCGTCATTGCAATGGTGCATGTGAACCTCGCGTCGGAACAGTAAACCTTTAAAAGGTGGCTACCGGTACGGTACAAAAATTCACGTATATACAGCGCCGGTCGTAAGAAATGAAACGCAAAGATGATCGCATTACAAACTCACGTTTTATGTTAAGTATTAATTCAAGAAATAGTTACTTAAACTGCAACTTAGTCCTCACTAAATCCTCACGGGTCCAGTCTCTGGCAATAGAAGCATGCTTTTAATCGTTTTACGCTCACGAATAATAAATCAGTTTATTTGGCAACATAGTTATGAACATTGTTAAATATGTATTTACTATGAAACATAAATTTCATGTTGTATTAAATGACTAAAGTCATTACTTTTCAGAAGAAGTTAATAAAATTAATCTCAGCTAATCTCTTTTTTTTTCTAACAAAACCAACAGAGCTACGACAAAACCATCTATAATTTCCGGATTTTCCGTAGATACATTTTTTTGTACATTCGCTTTTTTTTCAGAAATGATATCAACATTTTCTTTTAAAATAAAGTGGTGGTTATTTTTTTAGTAGGTACATTAAATACAGTATGCTTTTCAGTGGTGCAGTATGTTCTTTTTGCGTTTGATTCAACACTTTAAAAAATATAAATCATCAATCTCAATTTACACATTTAACCTGAATATTTCAAATAATTACAAAAGTATGTAGTAGTTATAAATTTGGAATAGAAAATTAACACAAAAACTTTTTCTTTTTAGATGGGTTATTTTTTATTATTTCATTTGTATAATAATAATCATATGAATTTCGTTTGATAAAACAAAATACAGATTTTTCAATTGTCTCTGCAATTATTAAAAAAAATCAAAAACCTTAAAGTGTTTAAGACTACATAGTATTTTCTTTGCAGCTGCATACAATATCACAAAAGTGTTGTTTTCAGTTTGAAATAAAAAACTTGACGTCATTTGCAATATACAATTATAGTCCGGAAACTACCAAATCGATTGTTGTTAAATCTTAAATGTACGTTAGGAATATCGTGTAGGTGGTAAACCGCTAAATAAAATTTGCCTAATCATCCTCATCAACAATTTGATGACATCATCTCAAAATTTTACTTAGTACATACATGCCATATAAATTTTATAACATACTCCGGTACTTCTGGTTTATGAATTTGCCCTGATTTTGTTTGTTATTATTATAATTTTTAATATTCATATTATAATATTTCTCGTAGTAAAGGTGATCTTTAAATACATAGTACCAACCATACAAAATATGGGCTATGTCTCAGTGGCAAACGGGCCAGCTTTGCATCTGAGTGGTGGGAGTTCAATCTCCGATATATATCCATTTTTACCTTACACTGTGACTGGTTTACCTATACCCTAGCAGTCCATACATATCCCTACTTTAAATTGTAAGAGTTATCTTAATTTTGTAATTTTTCGAAGAAACTGAATTTATGGGACTGTTTTCTTTAATTACAAAATGTAGGAAATATTTTTCTGCATTCAAAAAATTAAACAAGCTATCAAACAAACAGGAACATTAGTAAATTTTGACCGTTGCCGATCACCGCCTCCTGTTCTGAATTTATGGTTTCTTGGAATAATGCGTTTGTATCAATGCAAAATCGATATCAGAGGAGCGGTTAACATTCGTTCTTTAAAATTTCGATGTGTATGGTTGTTGTGAGTGACACCTTATTTAGAATTGCTTATATGTACAAAATGACTCAAAAAAAATTAATTAATGAGGCAGGTTATTTTATTTATTAAATTAAGAATAGCTGACCCGATTTTCCACAAAATTTGGAAAAATAATACTATTATTGTTAGTATTCCACTCCACCTATCCAAATTGATGTGTCCTTGCTGGAATATTGATGATATCATCACAAAAACTCACTTCAAATACACGATTTTTGCACTTATTTAGATCCTGCTAATTCAGTTCATAAAAATTTACTTGGGCAATTTAAAAAAGTAAGACGATCTAAAGTGTTACATAACATTTGATAATTCCAGTTGACGTCGCGAAAATTGTGACGAGGTGGAAATCCCACATTCGTCAACGCTTTTTTTCAGTTTTGAAAAAATCTTTGTTACTTGAAAATTGACAAATTAAATGGTAACAATATAAGCAGTTTTGTTTGTGTGGTTATTTCTAAAACATACACTTAATCTCAGGTAAAAATATTTAGAAGTTGATACTTTTAAATATTTTTAAATATTTAATCTAGAAATATTTCTAGATTAAATTCCAAACAATGATTTACAAGCGTCGCCAATACACTTATCACTTAAAATGATGGCAGAGAATTGCTTATTGTGTGGTGTTAGAAAATCGAGATATATCTAGTATATCTCGATTTTCTAACAACATATACATATAAACCGTTTTTACGTTTACTTACGTTAACGTATTAATGGAAACTGTTGATTATAGAAAATGTTTAATACGTTTCCCATTTATCGAAATTATTTAGTAGATATTGTTTTAGCAGTCACAAATTGGATTTTATAATGTAGAATTCTATAAACCAAAATTTGCATTGTTACGGTTTCCTGGTTGGTTTTATGACTAGACTATAAAAGGACGTCATCGTAAAACGTTAATACAGTGTCCACTTTTATTTTCGTGAGTCATATTCATATTATATACACTATTTTAAAAGTGTTTGAAGAAAGTAAAGCAATGTTATGACCTTAACATTCTCTGAACGATATAACATCAATATAAATTAACCGCAAGAACATTCCAGATGTTCTAAAACATGTAGTGTATCAAACAAATTTGTAAAATATAACTTTTCACTCTACTACCTATTTTAATAAAGCTTAAAGTTTCAGTTCAAGAGAAACCCTAGATTTTCAACCTAATGATTCCAACGTTATTAATCAATCAATATCAATTAAATAATTTTATCTTAATAAATACGTTTGTAAGAACGTGATGTGTATTTTTTGTTATTGAAAAAAATTAAATATGCTCATACTTTTAAAACTAATATTTTCCATACGTTAATTTACGTTTTTGCGTTAATTGTTTCATGCTAACTTTTAAAAGCGTACAGTTTCGGTCTTTTCCATTAAAGGATAAAATTAATGTCATTAAGAAGTATTTTTTAAAATATACTTAGATCATGTAAAAATGATTTGGTCCTTTGAGTGAATTTTGTATTGAATTTGTTACATACAAATTTTGGCAAAACCAAAGTATCCACACTGAAAAAACGAAAAACAACACAACAGAGAAACAATTTTATCATTAAAAAACACAGAATTAAAATTATAATTTTGTTTCTACATTGTCATCATTGTTGTCATTAAGATCGATCACAACTGGAGGTAAATCACCTATTGACGAATCTTCAACCTTAATAACATGTTTTGAACAACATCGATGACACGTGATCGATCTTGTCACATCTTATGCGAATTAATTTCGGGACATTATGACTTAATTTAGGAGTGTGATTTATTTTCCGTACGGCATGTTTTAAATACGGGCAAGTTAATTCCGTAAGATATTATATATACAATGTGGTTAAAAAAACTACGAGACCTATCACCATCATTTGATTACTCACTCATCCACGAGTTTTAATTTTCAAAGCTGTACATCTAGCGGTCCCATAGTTGTAACAGTGGAGGCGCCTAACTTTACAACCGGCCTCTATATAACTCTGTATATGTTTGCGGAGAAATGCAGAGATAATTAATAATGCTAAAAGTTATTTACTTTTATTCATTAAACCTTAGATCGCAACTGAGCTCTTAAATTTAAAGATATTATCTCTGGCAGTTTATTTGTAACCCTTCTATAGAACTCTTTGTGCTAGTAATTGTCGTGGCGATAAATCACAAGTTTCGTTTGGGATACTAGAACAATTTTTGCACGTACCACACCCGTAACGGGAACTATGTAGGTCTTTGTTAGGTATATAGATAGTGAAATTAAAATCAATATTGAACGCATAAAAATGTAATCACGAATCACTATCCATCTCAGACTTCATAAATCATGTAGCTAGGCTAATCCATGATAATCTCATCATGTACTATATTAGATTACAAAATTGAACCTGTCATTCAACAATCTGTAGATTATTCCACGAATCAGTGAAAAACATTAATGGTTGGGTTCAACAAACGTATAGTCAACAAAAATTTTACTTTTAAAGTTGTTTCTCTGGGGAACATTTATTTTTATGTGCCATGTCGATCGGTGAAGTTACACTGGAAAAATCGTGAAGGCGACGTCTGGATGGAGAACGAGCAGCAGCTCATTTAACCAATCTTTACGTCGTTGCACTTTAAAATGGCTCTGATTTCTCCAGGAAATTTGGCGAAATATCACCGTAGGATAATTACGACTAGTTCCATTAATCATTCTAAAACTCACGTTTGTGCCAAGTGTTTTTGTAAAAATAAACAGAAATGTTTTGCACTAAACATTCCAAATTAAAAAAAAACGACGTTAATTTTGTAAACTTTTCCAGCTGACGAAGTGTGCATTCCTCCTCCGCAATTTATATGCAAACCCCCAAAGTACCCAACCGTTTACAAACCTTTTACCAGCGCGTCCTTGCCTCCAAAAATAAATTACGCCCTAAGCAATGCGTACAGCCAGCATAAATTCAAGCGAAAATGCCTTGGGAGCGAAGCTGAAAAAGCTTGTGCCAAAGAGGCCCAGGCGAGTCGGGTCGCTTTGGCTAATTTGCGAAAAGTAATGGCTAGCACACCGCAAGTTCATTCTTTCATTGTAGAGGAGTCATTCAATGAAACAACAGTCGAGAATTTCATCCCAAACGTAGAAGAAAATTACGTCGAAAATATCCATGAGGTGCAGTTCGTTAATGGGAATTCGCCTCAAGTGGCCACAAATGGCAAATCCCTTAGTGTGATCCCGGTTTCCAGCACTCAGGGTCTAACAACCGATAAAATCAAACATATTTTGGGGAATGATAAGGTGGAAATTATGTTCCAAACAAGCGACGGAAATTTCGTGAACCTTTCCGATGAGGTGTTGCTGAACTTATCCAAGGGCGGCATCCAATATCAGGTTGTGGATGAAAACGGCCACATCGGGGAAGTTCAGGAATTGAAGACTCTCGACAACGCCAGCATCCCTAATAAAGCCGCCAACATGGAATCATTCCACGATGATTCCAGTTTAAAAAGAGAGGAAAATTTTGATTTGCAGATTGTGAAAAACCCAGAAGAAATCGATAAACTCGCGAAGGCTATACCAGAGGAGTACATTGATCCCAGCTTTTCCAGCGCTGCTTGCAACAAAAATAATATCGAGACGTTACAGTTACACGAAGGTTTCAGTGAAGACATTTACGAGAACAGCTTCCACATGCAAAGCTCCGAAATTTTCGAACCTGAAAATCTGAGCATGCATTCCGACTTGATGGAGCACAATCCGATGGAATTCGCTACTGTCAATGATTTGAAATACAAGTATGTAGCAAAAATTAATTCTTTGAAAAATTCGAGTGACACTATTACTCTGAGTCATCACGACATCATAACTAAAGTCAATGGCGATACAAATCAAGATTCTTCAGGTGAATCTAATGAGGTGTTGGTTATGGAGACGGATACGGTTAAAACCACTCAGAATAAATCATCTTTGAAGTTTACACCGGACATGTTTTTTGCTGAGCTCCCAGGTAATACATGTACGGAAGATAAATCCGAGATTCCTGCTGAGAGTGATGGTGCAAAATAAATTGTTCTTTAAATTAATGTTCACTTTTTATGCTTGAGTTTTTAAAAGTTTGTGTTGTTTTTTTTTCCCTTTCAAAGTTTAGGTGTTGTTTTTCTTTAATAGTTTAATAAATTGGTTATTTTTTGTATGTGCTTAATTTTACATTTCTTTAAAAAAACAGTTCTTCAAACCGATGCCACGTCATAAAAACTACCGACAGTGTTAACTTCACACAAGTTAATTGTTTAATTTTTTGTAGTCACACAATGAACGGAAAAAGTTGAGGTTAGATGTCCTAGAAAATGTATAATCCATCACCTAAATTTCATCATACATTTCAGCTTGTGTCACCAACAGAAATAAAATGAAAGCCTTGTGTTGGTAAAGAGTTTAAGTTTAACGTAGATTTTAGTTTTATAATGCTTTTAAAATGTCATCCCTATGTAGATTTTTTCGTGTTTGAAGGACAAGCCCTTGACCCAGTCGAAGGCCAAAGTACATACAAGTTTAAAATACGTACTTATTTTCTAAAATTTCAAGTTTAACAGATGTGTGTTCATATTTTTGTTTAGTAAATTTCAGAAAGTTTAGTATAGTAAGTATAATATGACTTTATGGAGGAGATCGAGCACGTGCTGCCCACACAGGTGGCACGTGCTGGTTTGGAAACACTTGTTGCAATAACGTCCGCTATTTGGGCCTGATCTGCAACTAATTCGACGTTATGCTACTTATTATTTGATCAATTAATTGGAAAGTAGCCTACATCAACAGTCGTGTTCACTACTGCAGGTAAGTTAAGTCAGAATTCTAAGGACCAGGCAGACCATACAATTTTTCGACGTGTTACAGAAACACCATTTACTATCAAAAACTTCTGGAAGCAGGTTTCTAACCCAATTTACTAGGTTGGACCAATAATCATGAACGTCTAGCAGAAGTTCTAAGGAATAATAAACAAACCAGCTAACAAAGGAACACAGCACATTTAAAGAACTACATATTTCTCTTTCGACGTGACCTATAGTTCACCTTCCTTTCATATAAATTATCTAAACTCAAAACTACAATTATCATAATATCATCGTATGTATATGTATAGTAGTGGTATAAGAGATAATAATATTATAACACCAACGCACTGATCTTGATTCGCATATTAACAAAAACGACGAAAAATATTTTTGCTGCGGTGATTTGGGTTGACAACCAGTAATTAATTTAAATAAAGTTATAGCAGTCTAGAGGCGACAGTTATGTAAAAGCAAAAATAGAAAACTTTATGCGTCAGTCCGAATTACGTCCAAATAGTAAAAAAATGAACTTGAACTGGCGGCGAATTAATTAGAACACTGGGAACAATAAGAACAAGATCAACAATAAAATTTGCAAACAAAACCAGCGACTTTTTCTTTTAGACTGAATTTTTAATTTGTATAGTTGACCTGTTTGGTAAATAAGATTATTGTAGCTATTATTATCTCACAAATGCCAAAGATAGTTTCAAACTGGCATAATAATTGTTGTAATCTTACTATAAATTAAAATCAGGGAAATTCTGCAGAGTTTACTGAAAAACTGCATCCAGAAACGGAATTTTTTGTCTGCAGTTCAGGATCAAGGTTGTCAACACACAAAGAACAGATAATGTAGTATCAAAGATCCGAGAAAAGAAACGATTGTAAGCGACTGTGTAAAGAAAAATCCGAAACAATTGAAATATCATTTCGTCTTGTAGTCTCCTGACACACAGTGAATACACTCGATCCACAAACACCATCATTCGCAAAAGAACTATCAATAATAGTTCGAAGTTTGCTTCAAGATACTCCCTTTCAAACTACATTGGGATTGAACATTATTGACAAAGTTAAACATAACATCTTTATGAAACACAGTAAACAAACCCTTTTGTTTACATTGTTCGTCATAAAATAAAGAACTCAGGACAAAACCAAATTTTCAAATACGTGTAGTTAACTAGTTATCCATGGAAATGAAGGCATATGTTAAGTTCAAGAGTAGTAGGGTGAGGTTAGGGAATACTGTCGTCGGTCAAGTTGCTGGAATTATAGAATCTTGAACATCATTTCGCTTGTCAACAACCTCATCAGTACATATCAGTAATTGGTCGTATTACCGGTAATGACAGATGTCTTGCATAAGTGCCAGTCATGTCCGGGTCAGTTGTAGATTTTAAAATAATAATCTATAACTATAACCCAAGCATTCCGCACAAATTTGTCACATTGCCGAATGCTTTCAAATGCAGTATGGTGAACCCTAAGCTTGGAACAGTGCCCTTAAATCAAAATGCCAATAGATATATCGAGGGCAAATTGTTCTGGAGAGGAAAAACCTGTGAAATAAGGTAGAAGGAACTTTTTTCACATTTGCAAAAAATCTCCCCAGCTTTAATAAAAATCAAATCAAATCGATACAAATATTTGAGCATCACAAGTTATTGCGATGGAGTGGCGGCAAATTTAAATATGGACAGTGGAGCAAGAAAAAACCCAGCGTGAGGACGCATAGCGACCGCGGTGACGGACGCTACTCGTGAATGTTGTATTTACACTAATTACAGTTACAACACGCGACGTAAGATTAAGACTCGTATTCCTGAGGTTTACTTTCATCCTCTCAAAGGAGGCAGCCAGCTAGACGGCCGGATTCAGTAGAGAGGAAAATCTGGTATTGCAGTAAACATTCACATGAATATGATAATGAGAAAAAACTACATTTAAGTGCAACCCCGTCACTTTGTTAAAATCTGACGATAACGCAACGGATATTTTACGAGTAATTACGAGAGAAAAAGAACCAAAATTTACGTGATGTCAAATTATGCATTAATTCAAGTTAATGATTAAATCAAAATGAACTGACAAAAATCATACCGTGAATTCCCAATTCACATAAAAGAAAGCACATATGAAATAAACAATACAAATCAAAATAACGGGTGGTCTCGGTCATCGTGCTTCGGGACCAAATGTTCAAATTCAACCTGTAAGAAATTATTAAATCTGTAAGAAAATATTGCAGCTCTCCCATTTTCGAGTCTACGATGATATTAATTTAGCTGATGAATGATATTTCTCGTTGTCCTTTCTCTCAAATTGAATCGATCTTTAAGATTAGTATAACTGGTATATTAAATGAACTATGTACTTACGATGTCGTTATTAAAATAATTGGAGCTTGAAAAAGTAAATTTTCGCCATGTGTTTTACTTGAAAAGGTACATTATTATTGTTAAATTGTATTAGAACCATGAACAGTTAAAATCTTAACATCAACTGTGAATTTACAAACAATAAAATAAAAATGACACCTGTTGACGAATTCACCAAAGTTTCACAGCATTTCCGATTAGGTACATAAATAACAAAAACTTTTAAGCACGCACCCCTACAACAATTATTCCTACGAGTATTAACAGAGTTATTTGAATGGTGTCAGAAAAAAAAATAAAAACATTCAACGGGGTAACCTAACAATTCCCAGTTGCTATATATTTCATGCCTTTGTTTATTGTCCTGAAAACGTAAATATTTCCTTATCTCGTATTACATAATTTAAATTGGAGTAAATGATTCAGGTGAGAAAGCGATAATGTTGGTAAATCGTAAAATAAGTGAGACATGCGCAATAAAGCGGTCAAAAGCCTACGCACACTACGTTATTGCATTGTTATGGTATTTCAATGAAAATAAATATCGCACCATTTTCTAAACGTACTCCTAAAAATTCCCATCAGTTCTGAAACCACAAAAGGTGTCTATGACGGTAGCGTGTTCATAAAAGGAAACATTCCTGTCTTTCTCCGACATGCAAAAGAATGTATGGAATATACAATATTGTTTATGAAGCTTTTTAAAATGTAATTACAAACAAACGTTAAACAGAATGTTTTTTCTTTTCGTAAAAATAAATATCACTAGGTAATTTTAGTACCAGGATAGTTCTCTTCTTCGTTTGAGGGTTCATTCCAACCTTCATAACTCTGCGTCTATAGTCGTATATGAAACGTGAAAGTCGTATTTATTTTGAAAATATTCTACATATATTTAAGTAGGTTATCAACTTATCACAAAAAAAAAACATTTTCGAAGCTTGTCTTGTTCATAAAAAACTGCCATTGTTAGTCTAATGAAATGTGAAAAAAAATAGGTGTATAGCTATATAAACCGTCTAAACAACTTCTTACGTCACTGACGATGACACTGCGAAATTCAGATGTATCAGACGCTTTTTGCTTGATCTAAAAATGCAGTATATAAACAACAGTAAAATGTTTTAAGTTTCCTGAATCATATTTATAGTGATAGAATTGTCTGAAAATAACTATGCAGGACCCGGCCGTAAGAAACATTATAAAGTGTAGCTTTTTTGCACCATTTACGCACCTGGGAATCTACATTTAAATACAAAATTCAAAACATTTTGATTCTTCTTCCATGCCCCAAACTTTAAGATTCGTCTCCATAATTTTTTCAGTGGCGGCTCGTGACCTTTTTAGATGGGGGATACAATTTGATAAATGAGTTAAATATGAAGATATAAAACAGGTTGTTATTACCAATTAATGGACGAAATTGTGTGACGGAAATAAACACAAAAATACATTCAATAAAAGTAAAAACGTATTTGTGCACATACCTTCAGTTTTAACCAGGGGCGGCTTGTCCTATGAGGCAGGTGAGGCAGTGCCTCACCAATGAATTTTACGCCTTATTAGGATTTTTATTATTTTATACGGACACATTTCGGCCAATAATTTGTGTCTTTTTTCTAAAATTTTAAAAATAAATATAGAAAATTATATTCTTATTTTTATCTCGGTAGGTACTCGTTGCTCCCTTAATTAAACAGCGCGCTTAAACATCGGCACAACATGTATTTTGTGACGCGAATGAGGCCGACTCGAAGCTTGCCTCTACAGCATATATAGAAATCATGTCGTTAATAGGCAAGCAACCTGCAATACACTTATAAGCGGTATGAGTTGAAAAAAGACAAAATTGAGGCTAGCCTCATTTCCGTGCTTGCAAAAGAGATGGACAACTATATTATTTGCGCGCGGGGAACGTGCGATTGCAATGCAGTCTGCATTCGCAGGAGTATTCAAAATTAGGCCGTTGA